TGCCTGGCCAGAGAGGGGACATGGGAAGGAAAAGCCAAAAGGACTGGAAAGGGAGTGAGTTGCGATGACTTTCTAGGTAGAGACCCTGAGGTCCGGGGGACAGAACCTTGCCAGAGCTCACAATTATCAGCGGTCAGAGCAGGCTTAGAATACTGCCTTCCCCAAGACCCAAGACCTCAGCAGGAAAGAGTCTGGTCCCATCCTCGAGAACAGACCAGAGACTAAGGAACCCCACAGCTCCCAGCTCTACTTCAGGCCTGACACAGAGAGCTGACGGCCGGGCCACAGGCAGCCAGGGTGTCTAAGAAAGCATGACTCAAGGGATATTCTGAAAAACGAAAAGCAGGAGACCCAGGAGAAATGGGAAACCTCATGAAAAGTGGGAGATGGCTGGGGAGACCAGGCTGGAGTGGTCGACTTGTTTAAACTAGTTTCCATGGCAAACTAGATCAGATTCTAGTTTCCCTGAACTATGAGACTCAATTCTTACCTCCTTGGTTTATCAACAAATATTTGTCAAATATTTACTCTTGGGTCTAGCCCCGAGTTAGATGGGGAGATGGGGATTCGAGGGGATCCTGGGTTACCCGAGCTTCCTGAAACAGAAAGGAAGGGGCTAGGAACCAGATGTGAACTGGCATCTCTGAGCACATGAACGGGACAAAAGAAAGAAGTCACTAGAGACCCACCAACCAAAATGGGGTGATTCTCACTTTTCTAAGCAGTGGGAAGGTTTGTCCCCAAGTCATCCACCTGACTTCAACAGGCCCAGTGACTGAAATCAGAAGTAGGGAGAATGAGCAAAAATTAAAAAAAGAATCAACAAGTCTGAGGACCAAGGTTTACTGGTCAAGACTGAGACTGGACACACACACCACACACCCCCCTGCTCCTAACATTTAAACCTGAGGATGCCGGCCCTGAGCCCTCGGCTGCGCAGCAGTGTCCACCTGTGAAAGCTGGGCCTCACCCCTCAGCAGTTGACTTCCAGGCCCAGAGCCAGCTCGCCCAGCTCACAGCTTCCCTTGGCTGATGGGGCTCAGCTGTGAGATCCTTACCATCATTCTCACCGTTCCCGCCTCACACTACTCTGAGAGGCGCTCTTATAAGGAGAAAGATGAATACCACGACCCAAACCTACGGTGGTGGAAGAAGTTCTGAGTTGGGTGTCCAGGAAGCCGGCTTGTAGTTTTGACCCTGCTGTGTGGCCTTGGGAAATAGTTAATCCTCTCTGGACCTTGGGTTCCTCATCTGCTTTCACAAGTGAGAGAGGGTTGGTTGGAAGATGGCTACATGCCCTCCCAAAACCTGTAGTTCATCAGTGCATAAAACTGTCCCAGAGGAGTTGGGGGCATTCACAAAAACACCCTCCACTCCCTGCCTGTCAGAGGGCACTAAGCTGTGCCTGGCCAAAAGAGGGCCCGTTTGAGGCCATACGTCCTGATGAGATCCCAGGGTACGGGGATTTTAGGATGCAGAGTAAATGACTAAAAGGAGCCTGCCCCAAGCACAGCTATAACTTGTGAGAGACAGATTCAGTGGAGGTGCCAGTCGTTACCTTGGATAAGGGAAAGAGACTTGGGAGATGGAATCAGCAACTGGGATGAATCTAGGGCAGTTTCCTGGAGAGAGAATTCCACAGCATAGCTGCTCTCTCCCCGACCTCCAAGGGTCCTCCCACTTAACACCCAACAGCAACCACCCCTTCAAACTGCAGGCCAGGAGGTCTGAGAGAGCGGGGAAGGTTGCCTGGGCCTCCCAGAGACTTCCTGGGCCAAGACTGCAGGAGAAAATGTTCCACTCCACATAAACATACGGGGCATCCAGAGTTGTACTCAAGTCCTGCTAAGCTACCAAGCCCTTTCCTGTGTGCATTCTATTCTTTCCAAACCACCTGTGACCCAGTTAACTTTAACTACCTAAATGGTCAGCACTGGTCACGAGAATGCATGTGTGTAGCTTTGGCTACTTGAATATGATGGTGGACAATCTTGTATCAGAAGGCAGCTCCCCAAATCAAGAGCTCCTATCTTGCCTCAGTCTGGGGCCCCGGAGGACAAGAGCTGTGTGCCTCCCATCAAAGAAGCAGCCTTCTGATTCCTCCCTTCCTACGTCCCCTCCAACAGAGCCTGTGAAGACACCGGTGCTCCTCACGCTGTCTCCACTGCCTCCTCCTCTCCTGCTCTCAGGAAGGTGCCTACAGAGGAAGGTGAGAAGCGAGAAGAAGGCCTCTCCAGCTTTGTTGAGGTTTATGCATCAGAAGCTGAGTCTTCTCCAAAGGACGTATCTGTGATCACAGATAAGCCCTGATGTCTCCTTAACACTCCCAACTGCCACATGTTTCTGAGGAATTGCCACCACTCACACACACACAAGCAAGCATGCCCACACCTCCTCTGTGGGGCCTGCCCATCAGACAGACACTGAAAGCAGCATCAGAAGAAAGATGAAACCCCACTAGCAAATGTCACTTCTGAGGCTGACCCTGGAGTCTCTGCACAAGGGCTGGGTTTACCTGCCATTTCAAACTGAAACCTTTCAACCACTGTCAGTCAATAGGCCTCCAGAGCTCGCTTCAGCTCCGGTGGAACTTACTGAGCACTACTGAAATGCCTGTCACCACGCTGGCACTTTGAAACATTTGCTTTAAGGACCTATCTCCTCTGCACATACAGGTATAAGCAGGAACTGGGTCCTAAACTGTCACGCTGCTGCACAAGTCAGACGTGCTAGCAAGTATGCATTTCAGGGTTAAGTGTCTAAGGGCTATAAATCTTTAAAATCTGGCATACCAAGTTTTACAAAATCCTAAATACCTATGTGTCATAATCCTATGAACACCTATCATTTCCTCTCTGATATGATTAAAGCTGATAATCAGTTGCTGTCCACACAGATATGCCATCAGGACTACTTCTGGTCTTGAGGGATAAAATGGAAAATAGACTTGTCCGTTCACACCTCATGCAAAGCTAGCTCAGGGCTGGACCCACCAGACCTGGGACCACCGTCAGTGTCATGCCATATCTGCCTCCTTTGTTTCGTTTTTCCTGATACTGGGGACTGAACCCAGGGCCACCTGACCACTGAGCTACATCCCCAGTCCTTTACAATTTTTTTTTTAATTTTGAGACAGAGTCTCCCTAAGTCGCTGAATTGCTCACTGAATTGCTGAGTCTATCTAGCCTTGAACTGAAACTATCCTCCTGCCTCAGCCTCCCAAGCCCCTGGGATTACAGGCATGTGCCACCTCACCTGGCTGTGGACATTCTTTTGCTTAGACTTTATAAGGACTGGTGAACCCTCACAACAGGAAAACCCGGGCCACACAACATCAGCGCTGGGAGCTGTGGTCCAAACGTGCTCCTCCTCTCCCTCGCAGCCCCACTAAGCAAAACGGTTCCTTTTTATACCTATGGTAATCACAAGTTAGGTACCGTTTCCCTGAAAAATCTCCATGGCACCTCAGCTTCCAGGGGAGAAGTGTGCCATCTCCCACAGAGCCTGGCTTCTCCCTCCTGGTTATTCTCTAAGGAGAGAAACACCCAGGTTCTCTTGGGTCACCTGGGTTCATGCTGTCCAAACTGAAACTAGTGCCACAAGTTTCTGAAGGCCACAGTCTAATCAGGATCATTTGGATCATTAAAACTCCACCATAATTAACAACCAATTCTGATTGAAGCTACTATTTCAACACACTGCTAGGCAGAACAAAGTTCAAGTGTGGTATCCTCAACAACAGCAACTGAGTTCCTGTGATGAAAGAAAGGGGGCCTGCTTTTCCTCGTACACAGAGCGGATGCTGCCGGTCCAGGGTCAATAGGAAACTTTTGAGTCAACCTCCTAGGAGTAGAAGACTTGAGCTTGCCTCAAGCCACCCAGGGACTCTTTCCAGGCCAGAGTCCAAGGGCAGGCCAAGTTGAAAGTCAGGATGTGCTGTTATATCAGAAAACAACAAAAAGAGAGCATCTCCTTCTACACTGTGCACTACTATTCCCTCTTTCATATGACTGCAAAATAGATATTCCTATTCCTACTTGGGAGACAATGATCATTCAACAAATATCTGCTGAGTGTCTCCTCTATGCAGGAACTGCATAAAGTGCTATGACTTTGCTCAAGGTGACACAGGTGGCAGGCAGCAAAAGGAGCACCCAAACCAGGTCACCTAATCTCAAGTTCATTCCATTCCACAGCTGCCCCTCTGACTGAGGTCAATGTCACATACCCTATGACAGAACACCAGAGACAAAGGGCCATGGTAGAAAGAACTACATGGTCCATCTCTTTAGTCTGTGCCTCTGCAAGGAAAGTCGGTATTGATGATCAACCCTCTCAAACACCAGCTGTCTCAACAGACAATTCAAAGTAGCCCCCAATATCACATTAGTTACAGCACTGTCCCTGGTGAGCCATCCAGACCTGGGAGCTGGGAGCCCATGCACCCTCACAGTCCAGTAGGCAAGACAGAAACACCCCCCCCACCAGCAAAGCACTCATGAGACCCCAGGATAGAAATTTTGGCAAGGGCTGGGGTTGTGGCTCAGAGGTAGAGCACTCGCCTAGCGTGTGTGAGGCACTGGGTTCGATCCTCAGCACCACATACAAATAAAGATATTGTACCCACCTAGAATTGAAGAATAATATATTTTAAAACCAAACGGGAATTTGAAGTCCTACCCCTTGAACCAAGGACTGAGACCTCCAGTTTGCCTCTCTTAGGCCACCTCAAGACCTGTGCCTTGGACCTATTCCTCAAGCACAACCCTCTGGTTATGGCACGCGCTCCAGGCCAGGGGTTTTGGAAACAATGTCTGCCATCCACTCTGGCTGGCCATCCCCACTGAGCAGCCTGTCCTGACAGTTGCATCAGAGAAGGGGCCAGTCATACACTAAGCTGACTATCTCAAGAATGCCAAAAATCTTCATGAATGGGTCACCCTGCGCCTGCAATCGCAGGGAGGTGGGGCCCACAGCTACCGGTCAGGTAAGTGAGGACAAACACAAGAAGTTGAGCCAATCAATAAGTGAGTCAGAGGAGGCAGAGTATAAAACCCCGGGAGCTCCGGTGCTCCCCACATCAGCATCTCCTCTCCTCACTCACCCTTCCTGGTGCTTCAGGTAAGTGTGGGTTCTCCTGGCTTCCTGCTCAGGCCTGCATGTGTGGGTGAACAGGCCTCTCTCTCTGGGAGCTACAGGTCCTTCACTGCTGCATTCATAAGGAGAAGGGATTCAGGGAAGGGATGGAGGACCCAGGTGCAGATAGTGTTTCCGGTCCTCTGGCCAGACTGTAACCTCCACCAAGATGCGTCTATCTTGGCCCTCTCTGGGGCAGTACCAGACACACTGGGGGACGTACTCTGCAGTGGCTGAGCAAGGCAGCCTGTGCAGGGGTTGGATGAACTTCATGAACCTGTTGGGAAGAGAGGCTGAGCCCACTCTCATAGAACAGAATGGTTCAAGGAATGCTGCAGAGAAGAGGGGTTTTAGGAGCCACAAAAATCCAAATCCTGTTTCAAAGAGGATTTGGATGGATAAGGCATTACCCTCTCAGATCATCATTCTCAGATGACTGAGAGGGTAATGGCTTATGAGATGTTGTGGACACAAATTCCTACTATTTACAGTTCCTTCTACCAAATTTGGACTTAGCATCTCTTAAAAGATATGTCCAATATATCCAAGACGCTGGTCCCTAGGACCTTCAGGGTCCTTTCCCCTGTTTCCATTCACAGCAGAGCCTTTTCTAGTAACTAGTCCTGCAATCACAGCCTCCTTCACTGGGACAGAGCAAGAGTTTGAACTATGGGCTTCTGCAGAGAATGGAATGCAAACCGGGCCTGTGACACCCCGACACACCTCCCCCATCCTAGGTAGAGATCTGGGGTAGTTTTCTACTTTAACTCAGAAAACCTGTGTTGGATGGGAAGCGACCTAGGTGTCAAAGTGTTCCAACACCTCATTTTACAGAAGATGAGAAGCAGGAGCCCGAGGGGGTGATCTGCCCCAATTCACAACAGAGATCAGAAGAGCTGGGAGAGAGGGCAGGCACACTAGCTGGGCTTCAAAACTGGGCAAAAGGGCCTTCTGCTGGATGGAACCTTCTGCAAAAGTAGCGATCCTCAAGTCCTGGCACCTGAACAGAGCGGCCCAAGGGAGGCGCCAGGAGCCTCCGGGGTGTTGTCGCCGTGCAGCTGTCTTCTGTGCTGCCTCCTACTGTCGCTGGTCCAGTGATGCTCTTTTCTCTTTCCAGGGTCCCCTTCCTCCTTAGACAAGATGTCCCACCAGAAAAAGCAACCCACCCCCTTTCCCCCAGCGGGTTGCGGGAAGACCTCTGGCGGCGGCGGTGGCGGCGGCGGCGGTGGCAGCGGTGGCTGCGGTTTCTATAGCGGCGGCGGCGGCTCCAGCTGCGGCGGAGGCGGCGGAGGAGGCGGCGGAGGCTGCGGTGGCGGTGGCTCTGGGGGCGGCTCCAGTTGCGGAGGCGGCGGCAGCGGAGGCTCTGGAGGAGGGATCAAGTACTACGGGGGCGGCGGCGGCTCCAGCTGCGGCGGCGGCTACTCCGGGGGCGGCGGCGGCTCCAGCTGCGGTGGCGGTGGCTCTGGGGGCGGCTCCAGCTGCGGCGGCGGCGGCAGCGGAGGCTCCGGAGGAGGGATCAAGTACTCCGGGGGCGGCGGCGGCTCCAGCTGCGGCGGCGGGGGTAGCTCTGGAGGCTGCGGCGGCGGCTCGGGAGGAGGCCTCAAGTACTCCGGGGGCGGTGGCTCCTCCGGGGGCGGCGGCGGCTGCTACTCCGGCGGCGGCGGCGGCTCTAGCTGCGGCGGCGGCTCCTCCGGCGGCGGCTGCTCCTCCGGCGGCGGCGGCGGCGGCTCCGGCTGCGGCGGCGGCTCCTCCGGGGGCGGCGGCGGCTCCAGCCAGTACTACCAGTGCCAGAGCTACGGCGGCGGCTCCAGCGGCGGCTCGGGTTGCGGCGGCGGCTACTCCGGCGGCGGCGGCGGCTCCGGCTGCGGCGGCGGCGGCTCTTCCGGCGGCGGCTCCGGCTGCGGCGGCGGCTCTTCCGGCGGCGGCTCCGGCTGCGGCGGCGGCTCCTCCGGGGGCGGCAGCGGCTCCAGCCAGTACTACCAGTGCCAGAGCTACGGCGGCGGCTCCAGCGGCGGCTCCGGGTGCGGCGGCGGCTCCAGCGGCGGCTCCGGGTGCGGCGGGGGCTCCTCCGGCGGCGGCGGCGGCTCCAGCTGCGGCGGGGGCTCCTCCGGCGGCGGCGGCGGCGGCTACTACTCGCAGCAGACCACCCAGGTCTCGTGCGCCCCGCAGCACAGCCACGGCGGCGGCGGCGGCGGCTGCGGCGGCTCCTCCGGGGGCGGCGGCGGCTGCGGCTCCTCCGGGGGCGGCGGCTGCGGCTCCTCCGGGGGCGGCGGCGGCTGCTTCTCCAGCGGCGGGGGCGGCGGCGGCTGCGGCGGTGGTTCCTCCGGAGGCGGCGGCGGCTCCAGCTGCGGCGGTGGCTCCTCCGGGGGTGGCTCTGGGGGCGGCAAGGGCGTCCCTATCTGCCACCAGACCCAGCAGAAGCAGGCGCCTTCCTGGCCGTGCAAATAAGGCCCCCAGGCTGCCGCGGAGAAGGAGCTGGAGGTGTTCTCCCGGGCGCCAGCGGGCTTAGCGATCTCATGATGTTGCCGCCTTCCCGAATCTTCCCGTCTTCACCACCCCACCACGGAAGAAGCCAAGCAGTCCTCAGGCTGCCTCGAATCATTCTGCAGCTTTTTTTTCTTGGTTTCTGTATGACTACCTCCCAACTCCAGTGCCTCCTTCATCAATAAAGTTGCAATTCATGAGAATCTCTGGGTCTCCAGCAGTTTTTGTAGCTTCCAAATTCACCCTTTTTGTCCTGTTCTTCATTCTTCCATTCATCCATCCACACTTACATTCATTCAACGAATATTCTATTGTGGAGAGAGTGGGGGGGGGGGAGGATAGAGGGAGTCCGAAGGGGAGGAATGGCTAGTAAACAATGACCAAAAATGTGAAAATCTGGTTTGTGGCTTACCATCATGAAGTGCTCCCAAAACTCAAAACTCCTGGAAAGTGACTTTCACTAACCACCACCAACACACACACACACACACACACACAGTGAGTTGGGTAGCCACCATGAGTCTCCTCATCTAGATTTTTGTTTTGTTCCGTTGATTGGATGGTTTTGTTTTGTTTTTTGATTTGTTTTGTTTTTGTAGACAAGCTGCCCTGAAAAGACCCCTCTCTCATGATCTGCATCTTACTCAGCAAAGTCTGATAATAGGGTGACTGCACCTAGGCACCCAGCTGCCCAGACTCACAGGAGAAAGGACAGCCTATGAGATATTCAAGAGCCTCTGCAGTGGGAAAGGCACTCTCCTAGGCACCTGTGGGAACAGAAGGAAGTAGGGAAGCTATTGTCTGCCCTCTTGAAGGGTTTTCACCCAGCTTGGGAAGACACAGCATAAATGCGTGAGATGTTAAACATCAGTACCAGGAGGTCGTGGGAAAACTCATGAAACTTCCCAGTTAACTAGGAGGAAGCTACAATGGTTCCAAGGGATGTGTCAATTGCCTAGTCTTCAGTCAAGGGGCAGATCATCCACCTAGCCAGCTTCTGTTTTATATTCTGATTTTACTCATTTACTTAAAGCAAAATGTACTCAGAGCAAAACTACTTCATCAAAAAATCAAGATCACTTTCCCATCTAGTCACTACTAGAAAAAAAAAAAGAAATTCTCCTCCAATTCTTCATATAGAGTCATCATCACCTTCATCATTTTTACATCAGTAACACAAATCAGAACAGGTAGCAGCCTTAACAATATAGTAGTCCACCTTGTGTATTATTTTATGTTATTTTTAAACAAATGAAATAGACACGGTGGGGTAGACATATTTCTCCCTACTGTTTCTGTTAATTAGAGATAAAAATCTCTGGACATAGCATATAAAACAAAAATTTAAAAGCCTAGAAAGAAGGAAAGAAGAAGGCAGAGTAACTAAAGTCCTCAGAACTAAGGAACTGACCCAGATAAGTTCGTAATTCCCTGAGTTTTCTTTTTCCCCACTAGGTATACTAGAATTCTACAACCAAAAAATGTTGACAGATGTAAACAAAAATAATCCCTCAAAAAAAAAAAAAACCTTTATTTATCCAAAGAATCAGGAAAGGAATGACTTAGCAAATCAAGTCATCTCTTTTTGACAACACCCACCCTACTTCAACCAATACCACTGGAAAAAATGTATAGACTTCCACCCTGGAAGGAGTTCCTGGGAGCTAAGAAGCCCTACCACTCTCCCTCCCCCAACACACACAAACACTGCTATGGTATAGCAAAGATACAAGTCTCATAATTCCCAAAATGTTCAGCACACTATAAAAAAAAAGTCACTCATCATATCAACAACCAGGAAAATTCTTAATTGGAATGAGGAAAGACCCAATAAATTGATGCCATCACTGAAATGACAGAGATTTGAGGATTATCAGTCAAGATTTTAATAAAAACTCATTATAAAATGCTTCAATAAGAAACTATAAACAATTGAAACAAATTTTAAAAATTAGAAAAGTCTCAGCAAAGACATTGAGAAGAACCAAGTTGAAATTTTAGAACAAAAGAAATGTAACCTTTTATAGAACTGAATTTTAGAACTGAAAATTTTTTTAATCTCACTGGATAGTCTCTATAATTAGATGGGGATGACAGAGTAAAGAACTAATTAGCTAAAAAATAGATCAGTAGACTGGAGAGAGAGAGAGAGAGAGAGAATGAATCCGTGAGACAACAAAACCTGCTAGCATTTGTGTCCCTAGAGACTCAGAAGGAGAGGAGAAAGGGTTTGGGACTGAAAAATATTAGAAGAAATGATCTCAAAATCACCCAAATGTGGTCAGTGAATCAATCTTTGGATTCAAGATGAGCAGACATCAAACAGGACAAACCCAAAAATAGTCACATCAACAAACATCATATTCAGTTTTTGAAAAATGATGGCACAGAAAAAAATCTTGAAATACAGTAAAGAAAATAACATAAAGGAAGTATGCCTTGGGTAACAGAGATTTCTTGTCATAAACCATGAAGTCCACAAAGAAGTAGTACCACATTTTTCAAGAACTAAAAGAGAACTATTAACTCCAAATTCTGTGTCCAGTGAAAATATCCTTTAGAAATTATCAGTCCGTATGAAAGAGAACTATGAACATTTGTTGCCAGGGGACCCATCCTAGAAGAATGGCTAATGGAAGGTCTTAAAACAAAAAGGAAATGATAAAGAAGTGAATTTGCAATATCAGGAAGAAAGAAAGAGAGATAAAAAGGGTCAAAGTATGGGTAAATATAGGACAGTATCCTTTTCCTTCTGAGTTTTTTAAAATTATGTTTCATAGTTAGGAACTGTATCATCAATGTGCTTTTCATGGATGTAGAGGAAATGTTAAAACAACTGTATTATAAATAGAGGAGTAAAGGAGCCTAAATGGAGGTAAGATGGTTTCCCTACCCAAAACACCATGGTAAGTTATCTATAGTGTAATACCTACAGCAGCTGCTAAAAATATCAATATGTGCAAGGAGATCCACTCAAAAACACTAGAGATAAATCAAAATGCAATAATTTAAAGCTGTTTGGAGTTGAGGGATAAATGACATGCATAATGTAAAGCTGTCCTTCCTACACTCCTTGATACATCTTTTATTATTTCTGTGCTAGTCCCAAGTGTCATAATCTCTCTCCTGGTTTCTTGCTAATATCCATCCAAAACTATCTTGTATGTGTTTTGTCTATGACTTCTTTTGCTTTGTATTAAATTCATAAAATTCATTCGGGTATTTTCTTTGAGCAGTAATATTTTATTTTTCACTTTTATATGGTTTAGCAGTATATGAATGTGCCATAGTTTTTCTACTGTTGATTGACATTTGGGTTGCTATTTTCAACTTTTTGCTATCACGAGATTTGTACATGTTAAGCTTTGATGAATAATAGTCAGTTTTCCCAAGTGGTGCCTCAGAGTTCCTGATAGTGATGGTTTGCAGTTCACCAACACACACTTGGTTTTGTTTTTGCTGTAGTATTGATCAATACCTAACTTTCTGGGCTGGGGATGTGTCTCAAGCAGTAATGCGCTTGCCTGGCATGCGCGGGGCGCTGGGTTCAATCCTCAGCACCACATAAAAATGAAATAAAGTTTTGTGTCCACCGAAAACTGAAAAATAAATATTAAAAAATTCTCTCTTTCTCTCTTCTCTCTCTCTCTCTCTCTCTCTCTCTTTAAAAAAAAATACTTAGCTTTCTACAAATAAAATATTCATGTGTTCTGTTTCTATTATCACTCATTTCAACATTACCCTGGGAATCATATTTCAACATGACCTTCAGAAGGGATAAACAATCTTCCAAAAGTACACCTTTCAGTCTTCTGAGAAGAAGAATATTCTTTAAATTAAAATATTGAATCAAATGAATATTTTAATTTAAAATACTGCTTGTTTATTTCCAGAATTTCCATTTGTGACTTTTGTAAGGTGCCCATTTTATTATGGAGAGTCCCCTTTTAAAGATTATTTATCTGAGCATTTTTCTATAAATTCTTTAACATTAGCTTTTTAAATCTGTTAACTCTACCATCTGCTCATCCTTCTTTTGTTCTCCTTCTCTAGATTATTTATTCTCCTGATTATGGGTCATAGGATTTCATTGTTGTTTGTTGATGTTGTTTTCACATTTAGTAATGTTGCGTTTTCTGGTTCTATTTTTTCCTCTGAGAAAACCTGTAATCTGTCTGGTAGAGAGGTACATTAATAGCAGACCCCCTAATCCGTATCTAAAGAATTCCCTTTAGACTTGGTTACAGTGAATCTGTATCTGTTTAGACCTTATTTCTAGGATGTTACCCTTGGTCCTTCATTACCGTATTAATTCCTAAAGTGTAACTTCTCTGAAAGTGGGACCAAAAAAAAAAAAAAAAACAAGATTTTTACCAAGACCATCTAGCTTGTCGGAACTCAGACTCTGTCCCTCGGGTACCAGAAGCCAGTGAAGTCACACTCAGCTCTAGCTCTCCAACTCTTAATTGTCCTCTTGCACACAGCTTTTTCTAGCATCCTACCTGCTTCAATTTTTTATTTTTATTGCTCTCAAAGATTCAAAAGACTTCAAAAGAAATTATTTTTCATATTTTCCCCAATATTTATCATTGTTATTAGAAGACTGTTAAATCATTTTAACTTTGACATCATCAGAACTGAAACCTCTCCATAGTTAGCTCTGTACGGTATGTTTATTATGTTTTTGTTTGTTTGTTTGTTTGTTTGATACTTGGAAATGAACCCAGGGGCAATTAACTGCTAAGCCACATCCCCCAAACCTTTGTATTTTTTGAGACAGGGTCTCACCAAGTTGCTGAAGCTGCTCTCAAACTTGCAATCCTCCTGTCTCAGCATCCTGAGCCACTAGGATTACAGGTGTGCGCCACTACACCCACTATTGTAGCCTTAATAAGCATAATTATTGTTCAATTTTTCAGGGGCATCTGGAAATGTAAGCCCCTCCTCTATACACACACCCATTCACTAAAAAACAAAGGGTTGTGGTTGTTTTTGGTTTTGTTTTTTTTTTGCAAATGTACTTCCATAATCTGTACACCAGCCACATATAGTAGTCTAATATCATTCTTTATAATAGATCTATTGGTGCCCGGCTCAGATACCCTGAATCACTCTAACAATTTGGATCACTATCAGTTTCTGCACGCTTTGCCACACACAATTTGTATATGAAATTGTCAGAAGGTTGTCCTTGACTTGACCTTTTCGCTCATATGGAGAGA